CGCCCCCCCCCCCCTGCTTTCTCCTTTCCTAAATCTAGGGGTTTCTAGGGTTTCGGTCGCTGCTCGCCATATCCCCTTAATCTTTGTAGAAGATTGTTATATGGATTCTAGGGTTTCAATCCCTAGAATATCATTTTGTGTGTTTTCTAAGTTATAGGAGTTTTTAAGTTAAATTAGTGATACTCAATTTGGAGACGGTGAAATTTTGAGCAGGAGGTTAGCCGTTTGCTACTTGGGTTGAACTGTGGACGGCCTCTTGAGCGCATACATCTACCAGAGGTTGCGACCTCGCTCTCTGCAAAGCATGATTTTGACATGCAGGTATCTGTTTTTGAACTAAAGGTTTTCATTATTTTAATTGACCGTGCTCCGTTTTTACTATTACAAAGAACTTCTTGTTTTTACTGTGTCATGCACTGTTATCCTCACTGTGCCTCATGTGTCCTACGTTGCGGTGCGGTGGAAAAGTGCGGCACCATCTGATGCGGCAGCGCCTTTTGCGCCTCTCAAGCAACCTGCGCCTTGCGCAGGTTGCATGCAAGGCATAGCCTCGTATCTTTTTGTTCTTTTAACATTTCAATTGGGTCTTTATACCCGTTAATCCATATCCAAAAAAAGCGAAATATACCTCGTTCACTATTTGATTTTGTGTCGATATTAGTCTTGATTTGACTTTTGATTTGGAAAATTATGAACTTGGCTACTATGTTGGATGTGCTATCATTAGGAATTAAGATCTTATTTAGTGATTTAGTAGTAGATATTATTTACCATGACATACTTTTCATGTGAGTATACATAAGCATGCTCTTTTGTGCTTCGTTACTTATCTTGAAAAATTATGTGTGCAATTTGCACCTTCATTCACTGGGGCACACACATCGCATTCTGCCTTGCGCATGTGCGTGTAAAGAGACTTTGTTGCCCCGCATTGCGCCTTGCGCATTGATAACACTGGGGTCATGTTGGAATTAATTCACAAACTTCTCTCTAAGTATTGAGACATTTCTTAGTTCTCGGGAATTCAAAACCTTTACATATGCCTATTAGGATCAACTACAGAACAAGGACAAGGTTGTACGGATTTATTTCAAATGTGAAAATTCGACCGTTAGCCGCTAGTGTGAAACTGTGAAGCATGTATTGCTGGAGTTTGAAGTGATTCAGCTATAGCGTATAGAAATTGTGGATTATGAGTTAAACCTTAGAACTTTCTGTCTTTCTCATAGTATTTTACTTATAGCAGTTCACTTTCTAATCATGGTTATTTGTTATCCAAAATGATTCAAAACTCATGACTACGTCCATATTATTAGCTTTCTTATTTAACATCATACGTGCATGATGAATGTTGTGAAGTCTCATGAAGAGTTTGAATGCTTTGTACAATCATAATCCTTCTACAATGTACATCATAAGCCAGGCAATATTGCTATTGGAGGATTTTTAACAAATATCTTATCAACACAAACATATAGGTCCAGTTTACATCTTTTATGCTGATGAGCAACATTTAAATTTCAAAAAATGAAAAGATCTGTTTTAAAGGTTTCTTACCTATGCATTAAGTTCTATGAAGTGAATGCCTCCCTTAACAGCCTGATTAATTACGTGATGTGGAGGTCTCTGACAGAATCGTAGACTCTGCTTGCTTCCCTTCTGCATATTTTTATTATTTAGTCCCATCCTTCCTTCATGTCTTGCAACTATTTCAAGCTGCCCCAGTTTTTACCTGCATGGCCTCTTAGATTTTTTTTCTTCCTTTCCAAAATTAGAATCACTTAGCTCTCAGTGTTAGAATTCTTCTTATTTGCATTGAGTTCACAACTTTGCTAGTTGGATCTCTGACCTCTAATTATTGGGTTTTGATCAACATGCCACCAATTATTGAGAATTTTCCTTGCTGTGGCTACCAAGACTATGGAGAGTTAACTCAATACAAAATAAACCACACCAAAGTAGTGATTTTCCCATTGATAAAAGGATCTTTTGTGCTGGAAGACGGTATCTCTGATTGTAGCCCCTTTTGGATGTAAAGTATATCTCTTCTCACCATTACATTGAATGAGACAAATGTATGCATTTATATTTACTAATAATAGTCAAATCTGGAATCATGATATGTATTTAAATAGTTTAATTCAAACAATCATGTGATGGATGTTATTACTAAGTCAATGCAATTAAACCTGGTCCTTTTACTCCTCATGTCTCTTAAGTACTATGGCCACATTTCTTTTATCCCCGCGGCCTGGACTAAGGGGTATTGTATTCCTTGGACTATAATGCTAGGATTATATTATCCTCAGACTATTTTATTCCACTCCAGTGTTTGTTTTCACACGGACTATTATTTGGAGCAATGTCAAATAGTCCATATTAGTGTTTGGTTTTAGGGCAATTATGACACTTTGGACTAATATCATAATCATAATGATTTTTTTTACTTCAAATCAACTAATACTGTATTGATGTCCAATCCATTCTGGTTGATTTGTAATGTGTTTTTCACTACCACAATCCAAGTTCACTTTGATCTAACCTTCATCCTCCTTTCACCTTCACTCAGATCATTTAAATTCTAAACATCATGTCCTCTACTAGTCTAAGAACCTATAGCTGAATCATTTTTACGTTCACTTATGATCATATAAATGCTACATTATTTATCTTCACATCCAATTCCTACTTAAGCTTCTCTGTTATTAATTGGTGCTCATCTTTCTCAAAATTCTTATTTGAACTTCATACAATGTTTCAACAATAAGCTCATGTCTAATGAGCGTGTGCCTGTAATTATAAACATATGCAAGCATTGTGTAGCTCTGTATGCAAGTGATGACTAACCATGAAAATCAATGTAACTTGTTTAACAAAGTGATATGTATTTCTAAAGGGGGAAAACAAAATTTGAAAGACCTTATAATCTTTGATCATGTTATGTGAACTGTGATTTTACTTGTCAAAGAGATTATTTTAAGCGATATACTTAGCATCTGTTATAAATAGCAGTAAATAGCACCGCTAATAGTGTTTATGGTCCATCTCGCGACGCTATCACCTAATAGCGGTGATATATTGTGGAATATCCGCTTTCCGCTCGCAAAAGCGGCCAATAGCGCGCCATAGTAGTGAATAGCGGGCGATTGCAGGCAAACTCCGTTTTTTTACCATTATTTAAAAGCGGTTTGAGGTTTATTTTTTTAAAAAAAACCCGACCTGCAACTACTATATCCTATTGCCTCCCACGATTTACAACGTATTCCCGCTGCCTTCCACAGCCTCGACACCTCTCTCAGCACTTCCTCTCACCTCCACTCCACTCATCGTGAGCTCCTTTCACTACAGTCCTCTCACCGCTCAACTTATCTTCTCGAAGACAACTCTTTGACTCCTCCAGTAGTCTTCAGTATTATATAACGGTTACATATCTACTTCATGTTTAGAATCTTTTTAAATCATAAAATATGCACTTTTAGATTTTTTAGATTTTTCTTTAATTTTTCTTATTTTGAATATTTATATATATAAATTAGATCGTTATTTGACTTTGCACTTTTTACCGTTATTTTGCCGCAATGACCCTTAATAGCTTAGCAATATCTCACCACCACGCGACACTATCCGCTATCGATAATCATGCATTAATTGATGAATTGTTTGCTTGATGAACATTATATGTCTTTTCTAAAAGAGTCTACACCAGTACACCCTTCTTTTTTAAGTCTACGAAGGTCTTGAAATAATGATTATGATATATCAAAAATAATTGGTATGAACCCTAGTTGTAGGCACTACATGAAGGGAAAGATTATCATATCAAAATAGGGAAAATGGTGTGAGAAGAGCAACGATGAGCTGAATTTCCACTGGAAGAGAGCAACAACAGCAAAGTTGGACACATGAAGGAGCAACAACAGAAGGGAGTCATTTTATTTTTGTGTTTGTTTACGGAAGAAGTAGGTGTCGAAAAAATTTTCAGGGAGAACTCATGCGGAGAAAAGATAGGCAAGAAGGAAGCAGGAAAGAACAAAAAAAGTGGATAGCAAAAATCAATAGGTGGAAAACTAAAAGCCTATGACTAATTTTGTCAGAAAATCTTAATCCCCCTAAGTGAATAATACCTGGATAATAAAGATGTGGGGTGAGTGGGTTTATGTTAGTCCCCTTGTTAGGTATAAACAGTCCATCCTTAAAGATAGTTCGGACCGGATAAAAAAACAAACATATGCTAAACGTGTGGGTTTGAACTATTTTATAATAACACCCTCACTATTCAAAAAACAAACATGGCCTATATATCATTTTACAAATCTGAATGTCCTGCACCTTGTATGAAAATCGGTAACTTCATTTGTTAGTAAGTCCAGATTTACTTACCAATACGAAATAGCATTTCATCAACGATATTATAATTATAATATATATATATACTATATAATATATAGTAATATATATTATAGCTTCGGATCTAGATAAAAGGTTATCGCTTTGCTGAATAGCAGAGCTTGATACACTGGCCCACGTCAAACCCTGCATATATATAGCTTCAAGTCAGCATTAAAGGTTATGCGGTTTGTGAATAGAGACTTGCACTCAATGGCCCCACGATAACCTGCATATATGATATATATATATATATTATATATATATATAATATATATATATCATATTATGAGATTAATGGGTATCCCTTGTCATAGGGGAGGGGATTTCCCTCCTTGTCTCTATGGTGGCACAATCCCCCACATCGCTCTGGAAAGTAGGCACAAAATCTCCACCAAATCATACTCCTCTCCTACTTTATGAGGGATTGTCGCGGGGCATTGCTGCCACACTAGGCGTCAAGCGAGAAATCCTCTCCTATGACAAGGATAGCCCATTAATATCTCTCTCTCTCTCTACATACATACATACTATATAATTATATAATATATATATATATATATAGTAATATATATATATGATATCACTATAATATATCATAAACTATATATATATATTATATATATATATACTACTGATTAGTTCGTTTCAGTAGGTATAGAGCTGTTCATGCCGTTGTGTAAATAGGAGCTTTGATCATGGCCGTCACATCAACCTGGCATTAGTTTGGCTATTGAATTTAACAATTTATATAACCAGATTTTGTTGAAGAACTGTTTATCTTGTTAGCAATATAGTTGCAAGTTTATGGAACTGCTAAATTTTTTTTGATAGGATGCTTCATCTTCATGTACATGTGTAACTTTGTAAATCCTTTGTCTTTTTGGTTATTGAAAAAAAATCTAACCTATGATCGTGAATGTCTACAAAAATCG